CCCGAAAACCACAGCTGTCTGCTGTGTGTTTGGGATAACCTGCTTGCTTTGGATTCTTATTTTGGGCCTGGCTTCCCAAAAAGTTACCGTTTTGCAGGGGCTGGAAGTTTAGCCAAGTTGCTTGAGGCTGGATCACAGGGGTTCTTTGGTGAACAGAAAGGCTTTCAACACATCAGGGATTGATCCTCCACATTCCCTCCAGAAACACTTGACACCGGAGCCCAACTCAAGATGTTACTCATTCCAGTTCCCCTTTCGGACGGTCAGCTCGGGTGACTCGCAGCCTTGGGTGCTGCGCACAACGGCGCGTGGCATGGGGGTGTCCTCTCCCTTGGCCTCTGGGCGGAGCTTTTCATATCTGCATGGGTGTTTCTGAAACAGCCCAAGGAATGCGACTTTCCGGAGAAAAAGAAAGGCGCCAAAAGGGTGATCCACCGTTTTTCAGAAGCACGTACACAGGAACACCACCCGAACAAAACGATCTGGGCTGGACTTGGCCTTCAAGCATTGCTTCCACAAGGACCCGGCCTTTGAAATGAACGGAAACCAAAAGGATAGTGTTTTCTATTTGGCTTCAAACTAAAGCCAACCACCCCAAGAAGGGTACCCTCACCCAGCTTGAAACGCCGAAAAGGGAAGAGCGAAACTTGGGAAGCGACAAACTTGGTGACGAGGCCTGGTTTTGCACAGCGACGCGGCCTTCGCCTGGAGCGTGTGGCCCGCAAAGGTGGCCACTTTGACCAGTGCCGCGGCGAGGACGCTCCAAGATGAATCGCTTCTGATTCCTTCCCCAGAATGAGCTCCCCTCTGGGGTCTTCTTGGTTTTGTGGGAAAATCCTTTGTTTTTTTGGGGTCCCCTTGGTTGTTTGGGGTCCCCTTTTGTTTTTTGCGGGCCCTTGGTTTTCCACTAACCAGGCAAAAAATAAAGTGGTTTGCTGGGGTCCTAATTCCAGCCAAGCCTCGTTGATTCCTTTTGATCCACGATGAAAAGGGGAGTGCAGGTTCAGGGATCGTCCAGCCAGAAATAAGTCCGGCCGCCAGCCGCTTTCTTGGTTCTATTTTTTGGGGGTACCAGGGTTTGGCTATGCCTCCTTTTTGACCATACGGCTAGTAGGGTTTTGGATGTCATTGCAAATTTTCGGGTGTTAGGGTTTTGGTTGTTATGGGGGTTCATGGTGTGGGTTTTCTCCAAAACCCACCTTTGAGTTCTCCCATGCTGATGTCTCTTGTCCACAGAACCCAGCGACCCCCCTTTACACTGTACACCATAAGTTGGTTGTTTAAAGAATTGCGTAAACGGGTTTAAGTCAGTTGTTCAATAACAAGCCAACCTCAACTGACCTTTCAGTTTTCACATTTTGGGATCTCATTGGCAGTCAAGGTCTCCAAAGGCGATCAACCGGATCTTTTGGGTGGGTTGACATTGCCTTGATTTCCCTTTCACCCAGAAGGGCGGGTAGCCCAGATGCTTGGCGGCAGCCTTTGTCGCAAGTTTAAACTCTTTGAGTTGGAAAAACATCTTCGTTTGTTGGTAGGTGTCCCATTTTTATTGTTAGGACTCTTCTTTATCATAGTCAAGGCCCAAAAGTGTCTTCAGATTCTTGCAAAGGGGACATGTTCGATGTGGCACCTCCAAGCTCTTTACACGGTGGGGGTGTTACTTGTCTACCACGATGTCTGGGGTAACTGGGCCTTTGAAAGCTGGGGCTTTGCTTGCAAAGCTTCAATGGTTTCCCCGCAAAAGGGTGGTCCAAAGGTGATTGTTGGTTGCTTTGTACAAAGCATCACTTGCGGGTGATTAGTTGGCTACTGACATTGTCGACTGCCTTTGTGTTCTAATTAGGTACTCAATGGTTGACATTGTAGAGGCAATCACCAAGATTGCCCTGAACAGCTTGAAACAACAATTTAATTGTAAATGCCCTTCAAGGAAGAAGCGGAATTTGTGAGAAATGATTCCCGCACAAACGGGTAGACAAACTCTTGGAGATACTACAAACTATTTCCCAAACGATGATGCACCATCCCTGCATGAGAAATGGGGATGCCTTCTTCGAGCGGTTCAGAGCTATGGCAATATTCAGTGAGTCTTCTTTTGGTGGAGTGATGTTTAAGGGGCAAGCTACCGGAAACGGTTTGCGCGGAGGCATGGTCGCCTTCCTCGTCCTCTTGAGGAAGTGATATATCCGAATTCGGCCGTCCCCGGGTTTTTCATGGCTTCGTCTCATGGAAGGCGTCTGGCTTTTCTTTTGGAAGCCTCACACGAAACCTTGGTCCACTTCCATGAGTGGAAAGAGGATCAAAAAAGAGAGACGTCTCATGTTCCATGTTCGGCTGATGCATCCGTCGCTTCCCAAGAATACCGTGAATTTCCGTTTGGCGGGGTGGGGTGTAGGTTGGACATGTCGGTGATTCCCCTGCAAACAGGGCTGTCCTTTTCAACCGGAAACACGGGATTTTGCACCCTCGGATTGAGCTTCGGTTTTCCTTTTTGGCCCCTTTGAATCCACACACACACACACACACACGCACGGCCGCCAAAGATCAACTCTGGGACGTCTGGCCGAAACGTTTGGCACGCCTCGCGCACCGAAAAATGGCGTCCTTTCGGATTCCGATGTGATGGCACCTCAGCCTAACAAAACGGATCTCGTTTGATGTTATCTTCACTAGATATGGACTAGAATCAAAACAATATTGTTTGGCCGGGGGGCACAAGCTGAGGTCGACCAGATCCAGATTGAAATCCACGGCACCCATCTAGTGGATAACCATGCTGACTCAAAAGGACACCTACATGCATCTCTCGCCGCGCTGTGTGGATATAGTCTTTTCCCTGACCACGTGATTCTTTCTGGCGTGGAACTTGCTGCCAGCAACAAATTCGCCACCTGAGCACCGTTGCAGCACAGGCCAAGTTGGTAAGTGGCTGGCGACCACGGAACAAAGGTGAGCTATCGTGGAAGCGGAGCAAATTTCCATGTTTGCAGCCCCCCAACTGAGAATGAGCAGACCCAAGCCAAGAAAAACAACAGCAAGAACGGTGCAAAGGCATAAGCCCCCCCCCCCTCACACTTTTCAGCCTTTGGACCTAAGAGGCCCCTAGTTGTGATGCTTTGAGAAATTGGGCAGGCAAGTCAGCAGGAATTTGATGGCCATCTTCAAACCAATAAGCTTTGTTTTACAAGGGGAGCCCAAGCACCAGTCACACTGGACACTGCATGATCGCAGTGCTGGTGAGTCACCACTTGTGGAGAGTCCTCTAATTTGGAATGGGCCTGTCAGCGCGGCCAAAGGAAAACCGTAGAGCCGCAACTCCAATTTGTGGGATGCGCATTTGCAACCTTTGCCATCTACCAACTTACCAACTGGGCCGACCATCGAGGCCCGCGGGATGCCCATCCAAGGGGTGGCTGTCCCGGCGCGGAAAACGTCCGCCGAGGAAAAAGATCTCAGGGAATTCCTCGGGCAGGTGCGATCTCCTTAGTTCTCGACACATACAGACAAGTTACAGTTATTTTGCCCTCCCCCTTTTCCGGGGTCCGGATGAGTTTATTAGTATTATCATTATTATTATTACTATTATTTTCAGTATTATTATTTTGTTAATTGTTGTTGTGGCTTGGCTGGATCTTATCCCCCAATAGACCTCCACAGCCCGGTCAGGATCTCTGGAAAGTTCTTGGGCGGTCTTTCCTGGCAAAGAACCCGAAGGAGATGCACAGACACCTTTTACTCCAAGAACGGATTTCTTGGCTACTGTGTGGTTGGATCTTTACAGTTAAACTGTTGGCAAACATGCTGCTTTCCGACTGAGCGGTGCTGCAGAGAGCGGAGGGGGAGAGACATAATTGCCAAACATGATCCCAAGCGTTTGATTTGCTCAGATGTGGTCTTCAAAAGGGGCCGAACTCGCACCAACCCATTTCGAGGGCAAGACCGTAGAGATGATACTGGAGTTCTCGTGCTCCCTTCGTTTTGCCGTTCAACTTTGGCGGGGGGCGGGGGATGGGACGGGCCAAAGCAATTTCGGCGCTCGAGCTTCCATTTGCTTGGCTGCAGCAATTGGAAGAAAAGCAACCAAATGGCATGGGAAGGGAAGGAGCGACGCCGATGTTGGAAAGCTGAATACTGTCTCCGAAGAGAACAGGGTTCCCTTTCTTCCCTCTTGGTTGTTTAAAACATGAAGTGTTGGTTGCCATCTTCATGTGAGATGTCGGTTGGGCCGGGTGAAGTTGGAGGAATGTAGAGGACCCTGAAGAAGCAGTTTCTCACACATAGAAATTGCTTGTCAGCAGGCATGACAAATATAGCTGGGCCATTGTTTGTTTTGTCTGCCTTTTGATTTGTGTTATTTGTTTCTTGGACACATTATTGCGTGCTTGATACTTTGTTGGTTTGAGCCATTTTGTGTGGTTGCTTCTTTGTCGAGTGTCTTTGGGCTGGATGCAAGTTGTATGTTTCTTGCCGGGATCCTGGGTGGCTGGCGGATCCGACAACCAACCTTCTGGCAGCCAGCACTCGCAAGCAGCCTGATCCCGCAGCCCAAGCCAATCCCAGAGCACTCGAGCACCGAATAAGCATGGACACGCTCAGACAGTAAAGCAAAACCCTAGCGCAAGACAGCTTCCAGCCGCAAACCGACCTATTGACAACCACTTTCATTCCAGACAAAGCCCAAACAGACCATCGGGACATGTTTTCCCCCCAGTGCATGTATGGATATTGTTTTAGCATACGTACTTCTTGTCCGCTCCAGCCCTTCCACCCGCTCCCTCTCCCCCGAATGGTCTCCCCCACTGAAGTCGAGTGGTTGATGGTTGGTCATAATATTTGCAGGGCTCGAAGGAGCGCTCACTGGCGAAACGATCGCCACTTCTCGCGGTTCCAAGAAAAGAGATGGAGGAAAAACTGGTTGAACGCTCGCGTTGGGTTTTTTGGTTTTCTGGCCAAAGTTCTATTCCCAGTGCCTTTGCAGACTCACAAAAAATGCCGCCAAGGCTGGAGCCTTTGCGGTGAGGAGGTGCGGAGGTGTTCTTAGGGTATGAACCTCTAAGGTTTTGCCTGGGAGAGATGTTAGGTTCTAAGTATTGGGTTGTCTCGCTTTGCCTTGGTGTTTAATGTGGTTTCGCCACAGGCCCCATGTTTTTTTGCAGGTGTGAGTGACAGTTGTTTCCCAACCGGGATGCGGTACAAAAAAGCTCCCCCCCCCCAAAAAAAAGCCAGCTCTGGAACCCCTTGGAACCCTCCACAAACCTCCCGCAAACCCCAAAGCCTATCTGCTCAGAGACTCCAAAACTTTCGGCTGTTGGGGGGAAAAACGGGATTAATTCTGGCAGATGAGATGGAGATTCCTCCATTTAATTGGAGCCAGGATGCGTTGGATCAGGTTTCTCAGCCAGCCGGCTGGTTTCGGCAAAGAGCCAAATCAAAAGACATAATATATATATATATATGCCAGCTTGGCTGGAAAAGAACAGCACCTTACTAAGACGCTAAGACCTATCAAGGGGAACTGAGGGCTTGAAAATGGAAGTGGGGGAGCGGGGTGACCTTTAAACTTCCATGGGTTGGTTTTGCCCTTGATGGGCAGAGTGAAAGGAACTCGGCGAACCCGACCCCTTCCATGTGAGGGCAGTGATAGATGATGTCCCGTCCATGTCCTGTTCATCGATCTGATTCCTGTCTAGTTCGTTCAGAAATGCTTGCTGGATTATTCCTGGAACTTGTTTCTAAGTGACAACAGGTACATAACTTGTTCATGGCTGGCCCGCTTGATCCAGAAATCCATCAAAGGGCCCTCTCTACAAGCCCTCTACATGCCCGATACGCTATAGGTGCAGGTTTCCGGTTTAGCAAACATGTAACAGCCTAACATGGTCCACACGGGCATTCTTTATTTTCTGTCTTAAACTCAGCACTCCACAATCGCTTCTCCTACTGGGCAATTTGGTCCAAGACGAGAGGCTCCACCAAGACCAAAGGAGCTGGCGGAGGTTCCTGGGTTACTTGGGTACATGTCAATATAGGGCCCGGGCCCAATCATTGGTTGTCCTTGCTTTAAACCAACCCAACAAACGAGTACCCTCAGAAAACACGCCTCAAAAAACACGCCATGCACGTGCTGACGCCGTGGCTGCATGGGCAAAGGTTCACTATCACTTCAAAGTCCAGAGTCTCCAGACAGCGCTGTTCGTTGTCACGCGGCGTTCACTGGTTCCGAACTCACCAAACTTTGCGCTCAATGGTTCCCACCCCTTAGTTATCACGCGTTGCCATAAATCCTGGCCCAGTTTGCACACGCTGCTTCCAAGGCCAAGCAAGCTGCTTTGTTTCTCAGACACGGTGTGACATGGCATGATTGGGTGGCATAGGTTTTATTCCTGATGTATACCCTGGGGTTCAACCCCCTTTAAAACAAAGGGGGTGAGGACCAATCGACGTCTGTTTTGCTTTGCTCGACCTTTGTTTGTATAGGGGCTCGGTGTAAAGCCTGGTTTAGGCAACATAGTCATATGAAGTTGAATGATGGAGTCGTGTTTTCGTGAATTTGCTGGGGGTCAAGCATCCCAGCGTGACATAATCATGACATTTAGAATTGTATGATTGACATTGCCTGCTTCTCAGGCCCGGTGGGATGACGCGTGCCAGCGTTAATAGAAAACTACAGGATGTAACGTTGGTACACAGCGTGGTTTTCTATGATATGGGTGTCGTAGGGGCCCTATGGCTGGAGGCACGCGGGGCTTTCTGAGCTAACGCGTTTCCTTCGCCGGGAGCGCGATCTGGTGCTCACACGCCATTTCGTTCCGATGGCTGCGATGGTTGGATTGCTGATCGTGCTTGCTAGCTGCGTTGACCGTGGGTGAAACTCATGATAATTGGATCTATAGAGCTCCTGCCGTCTTCTCAGCCAAGCACTGGAGACAAGTTGCTGCGGGTCCGGATCCGGTCGAGCTGGTGAAAAACACATCATGGGCAAACTGCAAAAGGTATATATTAGGACTTCTCACGTGGCATGTACCTTTGGGCAAACGAGCCACTGAGGGCGGACGGGTTGACTGACGAGCTCAGGTATCGCGGAACAACATCGGTTTTGGGGTGTGCGGGGTTCACGCAGAATAAAGGGGGTGCGCGCTAAGTTCAGCATGCCGATTGCGCGCGGCAAATACGACTTATCCCGATAGTATAGCGACACACTCATCACGCACGCTCATAAAGAATAGTCACATGCAAATTCACGGGCGGGCCAGCCAATTCTTTTAAGGGTCACCCAGCACGCGGACGCACACATGGCCTTCTGATGCCTTCTGGCTACATGGGCATGAGCACACCTAGTATTTGCAGCAGTGCATCTTACTGACTTGAGATCTTGGTAGTCGGGGAAAACCCAAGAATGGCTCATTGCTTCCTGGATGAAGATGCAATGTCCTGGCCACAACGCTACTTCGTTCAATTGGCACACAGTGTTGGGTGCACACAAGATGTCTGCATGCTCATCCGACTCGCCGGATACAGTTGATTAATCGAACTCGCAAACTCAGGCACTTTGTAGGTTTTTTATTGCACAGCGTCGCTGGTGATTTTGTGCTGGTAGCAGTTGATAGCTTCGCAGGCTATTATCCACCAAGCTAAAGATCAAAAAGCACCTAGATTCAATTAATGGGGAACGGGCTGCAATTGCTCTACCCGCGCAAGGCTGAATGCGGTTGGCGTGAATTCGACGAGTGTAAAAAACAATATTTGTGCTTATTCCCGATTAAAAACATCCATTTATTGGTGCCAACCTGGGTAAGGCTAAAAGTCCTGCTCCCTGCCTCGACGGTAGAAAGAAAGGGGTTTATAGAACCCCCTTTGTTGAATGTCAGGGTATAGCATGTGAATTTGCATCTGGATAGTAGCACGCACGTGTATCTATGTGTATATATATATACACGTGTGTGCGCATTCTTCACTCTATGCAGATATGCTTCATGAATTTGTGCGCATGTGGGTGCACGTAGGTGTACACATCGAACATGCCCGGTTGCAACGCGCGTGCCAGACGCTGACCCGTGCCCTGAACTCGGAGGCCTTAAGACCGGAGTTTCTTTGGCCTTCAGATTACTTTAACTTCAGATATATCTGGAGCTCCCTTCAAACCAGAGGACCCCTCAGAAAAAAACAAGAAAGGGTTGAACAGTTTGGTTTCCTTACTAAAAGGGAGCCAGCCCTGATTACAGAAATCCCAGGTTGAAAGCAATACAAAGAAGACACCGACACCGTGAGTGACCCACCGGTATGTGTCGGAGTATCAGAATATGGAGACCCTAAAAGTTGCTTTCCCTGCGTTTTCCCTTTTACCCATAAAGTGTTTGGGCCCCCCAAACAAAAACACCTCGAGAAGTCCATGTGTTACCCTGCCCAGTCTGCACCTTGCGCAGGGCGTTCGCACCCCCATCATGAAGGGTCCAAAATGGGACCCCCACTTACATCAACCCAGAAGATTCATGAATCTTTGTACCTTAACTTTTGGGAACCAGTGGATTTTTTCAATCTTGTGTGGTTGAACTTTTTGCGGAGGGGTCAACAGTACCTCATAATCAGCTGGTTCACCCGAGGAACTCTTAGTTCAACCCCATATTCCTGTTTCACGGCGGGTTTTCCTTCCATTTTTACGCGACACAAACGTCTTCTCCCTTTATGCTTCCCCTTTTGTTCAAATCGAGCGCCCCCCCATGAAAAGAGTTTTTACACAGGTTGGCCCTTGATTCCCCTTAGTCAGGTCCCCCCCCGAGCTAGCGTTAGTAAGGCCTCGAAAATAATAAGGTTTGCTTGGGGGAACCCCCCCTTCTGCGGCCTGGCTCGGGGGATCCATTGGGGAGATGTCCCCGGAGAGGTTAGTTGAAACACGATGGCGCAGAATTCAACTGCAGAATTTGTCTTTTGATCATTCACGAACGAAGGGACCCCAAGACCCAATGTTTCTCTACTTTCTGGCCTACTCCCTGAGTTCCTTCAGACTTTTTGAGTGTGGACCAGAATTGTGGCCAACAACTGCTGGCTGTTCAGGGAGTGAGTAGGGCATCCCTATCTATGCAGGGAGCAAATGAGGCGGAACTGGACCAGGTTCAAGGCACCTGTTCAGGCAGGTGTGCCGTTTGTTGGGGAACCCTTTGGCCCGATGATAAAGGGAACCAAGACCAAGAGGAAACTATATGTTGCTGATTTAGTTGAAGACACATTCAATTGGTTCAAATTCCCCGAAAATCCACATTTAACATGCGTAAATGGTGCCCGGGCCATTTGTGTTTGGGATCAAGGCCTGCAACATTTCCCAGAGACGTGCCCACTGCAGCCCCGCGCAGGCAGACGCATCGCGCTCCACGGTCATGGAGGTGGTTCCGGGAAGAGTGAGCAATGGTCAATATGGGTATGGTCAAAACTCAACAACCAGGGGACCGCAAGTTTTCGTCCATGTGTCCATTTACTAGGGTTCCATTTTGGGCACCTATGTTTGACCCACTGTCTTGGTGCGATTGCTACTCTTTTGCCTTTTTGCGGAGGTCTTTATATGTCCCTTTTTTCGTGGTTTAAACATGACATGTGGACTGCTTTGAGGGGATATGTGAAGGAAACCTGCCTGGGTTCTGTTCAGAAGAGCCCGCTGTTTGGCTGACATGCCGGGGATGGGGAAGATGGGAGTCATGCGTCATGTCCTCACTTGTCCACACGAAGGGAATGATGTGATCCACTTTCACCCAGTACACCGCCCCACCCCCCCTTTCCCACGGGCTTTAAACGGACGGAGGCCTCTGCTACGGTGCCCATCCGGCGAGTGCACGTGGTCTTCAATGCGGAGAACGCCACTTGGTCCAGCATATCTTACCGTAAAGGGAAGGCTGACATGGAAGGTCGATCGGTATGTTAAGAAAACCACGTGTTTTGACTAGGGTCTGGGAAATTTCTTAAACATTTGATGGGGAATAAGAAACGGTGGTCTGAATCCAGAGACTTGACCGGATTTCTAGTTTTGGTTAGGCGTTTCTTAGCCCTTGCTGGTGTTGCCTTTGTGCACTAGTGTGGTTGGGCTCGTTTTGACCCTTTTTCGGGGCCTTGGATGTGGTCGGGTTGGTTTTGACCAGCTTGGTTTCCTTTCCTCAGGGGCCTGAGAACTGGGTGTTCGCGTTGTTGGGAGCAGCGCCAATTTCCAAACTCGGAGCCAGAGGTGCGGTAAGTTGTCAAAAAAAATCGAGGAAATTTGTAGGTTGCCAACCTTGATCTACCTCTTGCTGTGCCTTTAGATGTATTTCATCTAGCCTTGGCTGGACTCAATCCCATCTCCTTCTTATGGCGACACAGTCCACTGCCAACTGAGCTAGAGAGGCATTCTCACAGACAAGCCTGCCTAGACATACTTCTTCAGGTCGCAAAGTTTTCCTAGATTTGGACATTGGACGCTGTTGCCCCAAAAGCGCGAACAGCCAATTCCGTGGAGAGTTGATTTTTTTAATGGAGCATGTGAGAGTCTGAGATAATTAATTTCTGGACGATTTGAGGGTCCAATTTCTTGATTCATAAAGTTTCTTGACACACTGGCGGACTGTAGTGCTGACAAAGCACCCCATTCGGGTTTGGTTGTGTCTAAGAATGCGGGCGACAAAAGATGGCTGCCATGCTGGCTGCCATGGCACGGGCCAAACTCGGCGGGCCGCGGAACCATTGCCGCAAGTGGCAGAACCATTGCCGGAGTCAAAGGCTAACGGAGCGGCAGGCGCAGGATCTGCCTCAGGCGCAAGCGCTGCGCGAGCAGATTACACATTGCCAGCGGCAAGCAGCCGCGGCGGAGGCGGCCAGAGCAGCCAGCGAAGCGCTGGTTGCAGGCTGCAGGGGACGCAATCAGTGGGGGTGACCACGTTCGCAATGCAGAAGGCCAATACCATGTGTGTTTGGACCGTGTTTGTTTTGTTACCCTTGTTACCCGGGTTGAGCACTTGAGCCAACCCCCCCCCGGCAAGACGAGCCAATTGGCGAGGGAGGGATAAGGAAAGGATGAAGGGACAAATGACATCACGCTCTCCCTCCCTCTCTCCGTTCCATCGGTTGACCATTATCCTAACCCTTTCTTCATCCCCAACCGCTCCCTTCTATCGCTCACAAATAATCTCAGCCTTCAAGGACTTCTATCCACTGCCACCCAATTAAGACTCCAGAAGATAGCGGCTTACATCAGACCAGGAATCATTCACGAGAAGACAGATAGGTAAGCAATAACAGATTCCTAAGATGTAGATAATATCCCCCAGCCGTCTGAAGGGCAAGGCGCGAACCTCACCTCAGTGACTCAGGTCTGGGCGAACCTCCAGCGCGCCAGCCTCAGGGTGGGAAACCGCGTCCCCCGAATCATTCGGGTTTGCGCCCAGGGGAACCCAGAAAGTGGGTGGTTTCCTCTTCCCGGGAACAAATGGAACACACACACACACACACCCATTTAAAGCCAGGCAAAGAAAGTCATAGAAGCGAGGCATCTTCTGGCAGCTGTTAGTGAGTGGCAAGCGGGGCCAAAGTTGCCCCGAGCCACTTTTGCTGCTTGCGTCAAAGTCATGGCCCCTTTGCACATCCCACCGGCAGGAAAGCAAGGAACCAACAAAAATAACTTGTGTGCGCTGCTTTTCGCTGTTTGCTGAAGCCAAGCATTCTCCCTCCCCCCCCCCCCCCCCCCCACGCGCGGCTACGGAATCCTTCTGGAATATCCCGGGATTTCAATCCGCAGTCCGGAAGAGAGGTCGGCCGGGGGCAACCAAAGGACCAGGAAGTAAACAGTTCTTTTGGGCTTGACTTCTCCTTTGTGATTGTCCAAGGATCCCTTAGTTGCAAGGAACAGTTCGCCAATCCGAAAGATTCACTACCAACGCTTGCTTTCCCGCGTTAGGTTGTCACTTTCGGTGAGCGGCCAAGGAGAACCCGATGACTTTGCATTTGGAGCACCCTCAGGAATGGCTGGTGGACATGAACACCATGCCCATGTACATGACGTCCACCGAACCGAATGTGGTCCCCACCTAAATTCACACCCTGTGGTAAATTCATACCCGCAACGGTTTCCTTGAGCTGTGAGTTACATTGGTTCTGAGCCCCGGCCCAGGCAATGTCAGGGACGCCCACAAAGGTGGCGCTGCCATTTCTTGGGATCTGGAAGACACGCGTCGCACGGGTCCCGGCCCTTTGCATGCGTTTCGCAGAAGGGTGCCGGTGGCGTCTCTGAATCGGTTTTCCGAGGATGGTTCAATGATGCTTGCAAAGTGAATTGTTGAGGAACCCATAGCATCGCAGAGTCTTACATTCGGCTGGCGAAGGTCGGGAAAGCACACCCAGCCGTGCGTTGCGGTGTTTTCGTGTTGCGACTTGGGAATGTTGGTGCTTCCCTTCCTAAATCAAAGTTCCAAAAACCCTCCAACATGCCTTTTGAGCATCCCCCGAAACACCTTATGAAAGGAATCTTCATGGAAATCTTGGTATGCTGAAAAGATACAGTAAGCCTGGTTAGAAGCCACACAAGCCATGGTTACAAGTCTAAGTCGTTTTCTCACCAGGCTTCCTCTCACCCCCTGCCCCTTTAAAGGAAAACCCACTGGCGCCGGGGGGTCGGGCCTTGCGTGGATTGGGCTTGAGGCTGGAAGCCGCTCTTCAGCCGCCGGGAGGAGTTCCGCCGGCTCTCTGGGCTGGCACCAGGCACGGTTGGTGGTTGGGGTGGTTGGGGTGGTTGGGGTGGTTGGGGTGGTTGGGGTGGTGGGGTGGTTGGGGTGGTTGTGTGGTTGGGGTGGGTGGAGCCTTGGTGGTTGGGGTGGTGGGGTGGTTGGGGTGGTTGGGGTGGTTGGGGTGGTTGGGGTGGATGGGGTGGGGATGGGGTGGGGATGGTGGGGATGGTGGGGATGGTTGGGATGGTGGGGATGGTGATGGTGGGGATGGTGGGGATGGTGGGGATGGTGGGGATGGGGTGGGGATGGGGTGGGGATGGTGGGGATGGGGGGGTGGGGATGGTGGGGATGGTGGGGATGGTGGGGATGGTGGGGATGGGGTGGGGATGGGGTGGGGATGGTGGGGATGGGGTGGGGATGGTGTGGGGATGGGGTGGGGATGGTGGGGATGGGGTGGGGATGGTGGGGATGGGGTGGGGATGGTGGGGATGGGGTGGGGATGGGGTGGGGATGGTGGGGATGGGGTGGGGATGGTTGGGATGGTGGGGATGGTGGGGATGGTGGGGATGGGGTGGGGATGGTGGGGATGGTGGGGATGGTGGGGATGGGGTGGGGATGGTGGGGATGGTGGGGGAGAGGGGAATCTTTCCGGGTCGTTGGCGCCTTGGTCCAATGTTATCAGAAGCAAATGCGTTCGGATTGGCCACAAACCCGACGGACCTTGATTCCATCCCTTGTCAGCGGTAAGGAAGAAGCCACCCACCTTCGCAAAAGCTTCCAAGGGTTGGAACAAGTGTCTGGCATGTGTAGCTGGATTGTTTGGTTCTTCAGCAAAGACTTGAGGACATTTTCAGCCCACTCAGGGGAGTAGTCCTTTGCAGGTGAGGTTGACGCTCTGGATCCCAGACATTCCTGGCAGCTCGAGGCCCGGCGAGCCGAGTGCTGGTGAAGGTGAATCTCACTTCCTGACCTCCTGGACTTGAGACTTTTTGGGAAGTCCATTTTCGTGGTACGCAAACAGTTCAGAGATGGTTTGGCCAATCCACTCAGGAAGTGGGACATAGCAAAAGCTTACCAGTTGAGTTGGCAAACTTTAAGACATGTTTGCTGGTTGGTTTTCGCATCATGTTCGTCAAGGTCCACTCAACTCAGAAGGTCACAAAGGGAAACCAACAGAGCAGGGGTAGTTTTCGATTTCCTGGCCTGTTTATTCCGCACCCAGGTTTCGGTGGAAGTGCCCTTGTTTCTTTCTTTGTGTAACGGGTCTTTGGAACAAACTACCAAGCAAGTGGCCTTGTCCCATGGAACTCTGGAGACGGAAGTGGAGGGTGCCTGGGGTCACCCCAAAAACTTGCGATCGGTGCGATAGGGAATGAGAACTGGAATGAACCTGGGGATTTTAATGGAAATCATCGGATGGTTTATAGGGGTCATTCCATTTCTCATTCAGCAAGAATAAGGCCCCCTTTTCTGCACAAGGGTCACTGGACAACTCTGCGTTTGCGTAATTTGGGGCAGCTCACTGTGATACCAAGGGAGCTGCTTTAAAGTGACAGTTGCGGGCATCGGGGATCAATCGTTTTGATATCAAGGATTGTTTCCACAACCATGATCCTCAATGTTGACCACTGTTTCACCCCCTGCAAGTTCATGGCAAGTCGGAAAAGTGCCTCCACTTGTTATAAAGTTATTTCTGGCCTTTGCTAGTTTTCTCTTTCAAGTGACCGGAAACGTTCGGGGCTTACAGGGGTCACTAGATTTCCGGATTTGCATTTCAACAGCACCTACATGTCTTACTGTCCTTTAACAAACGCCGAAGAAAAGTCCATTGTTCCCATTGCTTTCAGAAATCAATGATGTCCTAGTCATCTAACAAGATGTTTGGCCATGGATCCCAGAGCACAGCATGTTGTCTTCACGTTTGCTGACACCACAGAACGTATCTTTGTGTGTGTGTGGTTGTGTTGTCCGTGATGCTGACATGAGCTCCTTACCAAAGCATCGTCCCAGGACGCGGCGGAAGCCTTGAAGTACCAGCCGGCGGATCCTGCGCAGGCACCGCCGAGTCCAACCAAAATTTGCTCTCGCGTTTGTTGTGTTGTTGTGTTTCGCTTTAATTTCGTTTTGAGGGGGGGGGGAGGGCTGCGAAGAAATGAGACAGAGAGAGAGAGAGGGAACTAGAGTTGTGCTAACAAAAGCTGAATTGAACTCGGTAGAACTGGCTGAGTTTCCTACGCTGGTGGTTACCTTAATGTAGGGCTTGGGTTGAACTGGAAACCCATGCGCAACTCGCTTGTGAGTTTGTTTTGCAGAGTCCGACATGCCTGGGTTGAACTGTGGGCCTTTGAGTTTCGTTTAATGGTGGTTTGTCAGAGGTCCAACTCATTTTTTAAACTTTTTGGACTTCCAAAAGTGGTGTCTGTTTCTGCGGAATCGCTGAGCAACGTTTGAAGAATCCACCATCAAAGTGATCTGTTAAAGGGCAAATTGCCAGAGGGCCTCGCGCTTGCTCAAGTAACAAGGGTGCCATGAGGGCTCTTTGCTTCTTTGTGGGCCGGAAGAATAACCATCCATAGTTCATGCTCTTTTCCAGGGCCGGGGTGTTGCAAGTCCTTCAGTTTTCAGGTTTTTCCGGCTCACCTCATATTAGGGGCTTGCGTGTGTGTGTGTGTGTGTGTGTGTGTTGTGTGTTGTGTGTGTGTGGTGTGTGTGGTGTGTGCGTGCGTGCGTGCGTGCGTGCGTGCGTGCGTGCGTGCGTGCGTGCGTGCGTGCGTGCGTGCGTGCGTGCGTGCGTGCGTGCGTGCGTGCGTGCGTGCGTGCGTGCGTGCGTGCGTGCGTGCGTGCGTGCGTGCGTGTGTGTGTGTGTGTGTGTGTGTTGGTTGTGTGTATGTGTGTGTGTGGTGTGTGTGGTGCGTGTGTGTGTGTGTGTGTGGTGCGTGTGGTGTGTGTGTGTCTGTGGGTGTGTATGTGTGTGTGTGTGTGTTTGTGTGTTTGTGTTTGTGTTTGTATGTTTCTGTGTGGGTGTGTGTGTGTGTGTGCGTGAAGGGGGTGTGTGCGTGTGCGTGTGCGTATTCGTGTTTGTGTGTGTGTGTGTGGGTGCGTTATTGTGTGTATGTGTGTTGTGTGTGGGTGTGTGCGGTGTGTGGTTTGTGCGTGTGTTTGTGTGTGTGTGTGTGGGTGTGTGTTTGTGTACGTGTTGTGTGTGTGTGTGCCTGTGCCGTGGGTGGTGTGTATGCGTGTGAGTGTGTGTATGTGTGTGTTTGCGTATGGTGTGTGTGATGTGTGTTTGTTGGTTTGTTCGTTTGCTTGATTGCTTGTTTGCTTGCTTGCTTGTTGTTGTTTGTTTGTTTATTTGTTTGTTTGTTTGTGTGCTTGTTTGTTGGTTTGTGTCTGTGTGTGTGTTTGTTTCTTTGTTTGTTTGTTTGTTCATTTGTTCGTTTGTTTGTTTGTTTGTTTGTTTGTTTGTTTCTTTGTTTTGTGTTTGTTTGTTTGTTTGCTTGCTTGCTTGCTTGCTTGCTTGTTTGTTTTATTGTTTGTCTGTGTGTTTGTGTTTTTCTTATTAGTTTGGTTTGATTTCTTTGGTTCTATGGGTTTGTTGTTTGTTTGTATACCTGTTTGGTTGTTTTCTTTGTGTTTGTTTCTTTGTGTGTGTTGGCTGCTTTTTTCGAGGGTGCTCTTGGCCCGATGGATGTTCTAAAGGGAGCCAAAATAAACACCCTGATTTCGGGGCTGATTTTGACAGATTCCCATACTAAAGATGTGGGAACTAGGGGAGGGTTCACTGGTTGACAGTTTTGAGGCCACACGGCTTGAGTCGATGCTGCAGAGCCAGCCCGGGCCTCAAGCCGAAGCTCAAGCCGAAGCTCAAGCCGCGATTTGGGCGGGGACAACCCGATCGCAAGGAACAAATCAAAAACCCGTCCCAAGTCCCAAGCGAAAGAGTCTTCGGACATCTTGGCCAAAAAATGTAGTTGGTCCATGTCATTAGCTACTTGTCATGCGCGAGGCACGTGAGCGAAAGCCCAAATTCCATCGCGTGCATGGCACCCGGCTGATTGTTCGCGAACCGACCGCGAGCCAGCAGTGTTTTGTTTTGAGGGTACCGTGTTTGGATGTGGTTTTGGAAAATGTGTGAACTCCTGAGGTTCTGCCCTTTCGGAAACAGTGCCTCTTTGTGGCCTCGGTCTGCTGGGGCCAAGTTTTGGTCCCGAATCGGAGGGACACATGTTGCGAGACGTGAACCATCAAACTGTACAGCAAATGTGATATTCATATAATCTGGCACTTCCAGCCTCAAGTTTGGAGAGTCACAACCTTCACTTTAAGGAACCCTTCTACAACCTTGGGTTGTCTCAATTTGTAGATGTGCGGATGAACCTCCGAGAGAGTTTGTTTGAGGTTGGAGCAGGACATCATCAATCATCGAGCTGGCCTTGGTGCAACGGCCGCCTCCTCAGAGACGTTGTGCAGGCGATGTGGGAACCCTGCATTAGTCAACCACCATTGGGCTGGTGGTCAAAAAACATGTGCCAAAATGGCACCTGGGTAAATGGAAACAAAGACTAGAAGCTGCGTATCCTTAAGTCGTGAATTTTGAGCCACAGCCATTTCATGAACAGGGAGGCTACCTCATTTCAGAAGGGAGCCCTCATTTTTTAGGGACCCCTTTTGTTCGTTCAGTTAATCCGAACATTTGTGGACGACACTTTGACCGCAATTTCCAGGGTGAACTTGCCTTTAAAGCGGGGTCTACAGGTTTAGACAGATGTCCCCTTTTTGGATTCCAAGGGAACCCTTTGCACGTATTAGAAATTTTGATGTATATATATATACATATATATATATGTATATATTTAGAAAGGCCCCTGTTTGTCTCAAAAAAGGTTCCAGATGGCAAAGCTGAGTCGGATGCTTCTCAACAAATGCCCGCCTTTTCCAGCGCGGTTTAGAGGTACCGTCCCGCTGGTTGGCACTGATGACAGATGATACGGGGGCTCAACTTACGTCCATTGCAATTTGGGGCATCGTCTCTGCTGAGCAGCACCAAAACTCCCACTGGCTATTTTAGTAGCAGTGATTCTACTACCTGCCTTGGGCATAACGCCTTGGGCCTTGAGCTGTGCAACATTAGTAGGATCCAATCATTTTTGGGCGATGCTCAGCTCTTCGCATTGGTAAAAGGTGTTTGCTTTCAAGTTGCATCCGGCCACTTGCTCGGCCAGTACCATTTCAACGTTTTAATGGCAAACTGCCACATCTCTACTGGTAGCTTCACATTGAAATTCGATGAGGCAATTCGTCACATATGTTGTGTTCAGATGCTTCAACCGGCAAAAGGTGAGACCTGGGCGAATCATACCCCCGAATCATACCCCAAATCATACCCCTTCAAAACGTATCTTGCAAGATGCTACTTGTCTTCCACAATTCTCCCACTACTGCGAGTACTACTACTACTACTACTACTACTACCACTACTACTACTACTACTACTACTACTACTACTACTACTACTACTACTACTACTACCTCTACTACTTCTACTACTACTACTACCACTACTACCTACTTCTACTACTACTAGTACCAGTACTAGTACTAGTACTAGTACTAGTACTACTACTACCACTACCACTACCACTACCACTACCACTACCAGTACCACTACTACTACAAGCAGTTCCGTGTTGCGACTAGCCGAATCATACCATCGAATCATACCCGGACAATGAGCTTCCCTTGCAAAGGCTCGTGCCAAGACTTTTGCAAAGCTTTCGCACCACTGCCGCCGCTGCTGCTTCTGCTACTACTGCCACTTCTACTCTACTCCTACTACTACTCCTACTGCTACTGCTAGTACTACAGTACTACTACTACTGCTGCTACTACCACCACCACCACCACTATTACTACTCCTGCTGCTATTACTACTACAAATACTACTACTACTACTACTGCTTCGGCTGCTACTACTACTACCACTACTACTACCACTACTACATTTACCATTCTCAGTTTGTAACCAGTTCCGTCTTGCAACTAGCCAAATCATACCCCCGAATCATGCCTGCTACTACTGCTCCTGCTCCTATTGCGGCACCTACTACTACAACCACTGCCACTGCTGCTTCTGCTACTGCTACTACTGCCCCACTCCTACTCGCCACTACCACTACTACAACCGCTACTGCTACTACTGCTACTTCTACTACGAATACTTTACTACTGCTAATACTACTACTACTACCACTACTACTACTACTTCTTCTTCTTCTAGTTCTACTTCTACTTCTACTTGCACTGCTACCGCTGCGATTACTGCTTCTGCTACTTTTACTGCCATTGCCGCTGCTACACCACTGCCACTCCTGCTACGACCTGCTACGGCGAATCATGCCCCCGAATCAAACACGTAATTCCCCGCACTCAAACCTTCCAGCCCAGCCACCGTAAACAAATACAAACTCTTGCCTGTTCAGATCCTGGGGCGAACACGTTGGGTGACGATCCCCCACCCTCTTTCTTTCACAGGGTCCGCTGAAGGCTAGCGGGGCCATCTGACCAGTCATTCTCGCCGGCTGAATTACTTCCAAGTGTCCCTTGTTGCTTTTTAAACACATTTATCACTACTGGACATATGTTCCATATTTTTCCAAGGGGCACAGCAATGCAAGTTGGAGATTCGAGGAGGGTAGTACATAGTAACTCTTCGGAGACTTGCGAGCATGTGGTGTAACTATGTGGAGTAAAGGAAGGGAAACTCAGGCAAGCCTAGGTCCCGAATGGACACGAAGCCAGGGTTCTGTGCACTGTAAAGATGCCATGCCCAGCGACAAAACCACTGCGCAAAACGGCAAATTCGAGGGTTCTTTTGTTTCGCTGCTTGGAAGAGGCAGGGCATCCAACGTACCTTTCCGGACAGTTGATCCAGGAGGGCCACAGCAGCCACAGCACAAAGTTCAACCACATCATCGGAGACAAGCCCCGGGACCCAGAGCCCAGATCGCGGTCTGTGAGCTGTTGCGCTCTCCTTGGAGTGTTTGCTTCACTTGCGGATTTTGTTGGGGGGTTCTTTTAGTTGTCCGTTGGCCACAAAAGCTGAACGGACCACTTGAACCCGGTTCATCCAATTGGTGAAGTTGAGCCCGGATGGCTCAATTTACGCAAGTTGGTCCAGAAATAGGTTCGGTCGGTCCAAATGTTCCAGCTGGGCCACAAACAACGCTTGGATGAAGATAAGCCGAGGTTAGCTGTTCTTGGTGCTTCGTGAGGCTGCTCATGTTTGGTGATGGGTGGGGCGTGCAAAACGCTGTCGGAAATTGACTGTAGGGGAGTGTCGTGACCAGAGGTTTGCCAAGAACAGCCCTTTTCATTATGTACTTGTTTTATGACTGCATCAATTAGAACCGGACTTGTGGTCTCCACGGGATGTCGTGAGCAGTTCCGGTGGTACCCGGCGGTTTTTAACTGCCCCAACTTAAGTGGCCCGGCCAGGTCTTATACTCCATGCCACGCATGATTGCATAGGAATGGAAACGTCGACGCCTAGTGGGAGCAGGCTCAGAGCACGCTGGTGGAGCGCGTTCGGGGCATGCTTGGAGCCGGCCATTGGCCTGGACACGCGCGCTTTTCGCAACGTCAGTTTGCCTGACAGGCGCGGCGCTTTTGCAAGGTCAGGCGCAGATTTCGTGGCAGGCGGGGCACACTTACATTTCGCAAGGTCAGGCGTGCCACTTGCAGAAGGTCAGGCACCGATTTGTGGCAGTCGCAGCACGTCCGTGAGGTGAGGCGCAGACTTCGTTGCCCCACGGCACTTTCACAAGGTCTGGCACAGATTTCGTTGCAGGCGCACTTTTGGAGGCCAGGCACAGGTCCCGTGGCAAGCGCATCGCTTTCGGAAGGTAGATGAACAGATAGATAGATAAGACCAGATTAGTTGTTTGATTCACTGATTGGTTGGATTGACTGCTTTGATTTGATTGGTTGGTTGATTGGTTCTTTAGTTGGTTGACTGACTGGTTGATTGATGGGTTGATTGACTGACTGAATGATTGGTTGGTTGATTGAATGGGTGGTAATTAGGTAGACATGTACGTAGGTAGAAGTTCGATACACAGATAGAGAGATTTGATAGACAGATAGATGGGACAGCCAGACAGATAGACTGGATTGATATTTAGAAATCTGGAACGTGGATCAACAAATAGGCAGGAATATTGATAGATTGATAGATAGATTGATGGATAGATTGATAGATGCGTAGGACAGGGAAGTAGAAATCTAGATAGGAACATCGATGGGCCGATCAATGAGAACTAAATGGATAGAAGACAAATGGCTAGATAGACAGACAGATAAATAGATAGCGATAGTTTGATAGACAGGTAGGGAAATTGATTTACTAGATAGAGAGAACGAAGAGAGCGCGAAAAAGACGTAACACTGCAAAAAAAACAGGCAGAAAGAAAGGAAGCAAAAGAGATAGAGAGAGACAAGAGAAGAACATTGAGAAGAGAAAGATCGGAAAGAGGAAAGATAATCACAAACTAGAGAAAGAGAAATAAATAGAAGAAAAAGAGAAACAAGAGACGAGAATGAAGAGACATAAAGAGAAAGGAAAAGACAGAAACAGAGAGAGAGAGAGAGAGATAACGATACATAGTTCTTATATGTTGTGAAACTTCCGTCCAGCGGCTTCGCAGGCCTTGCTGGTATTGAAGAGAGACAGAGAGAGAGAGAGAGAGAGAGAGAGAGAGAGAGAGAGAGAGAGAGAGATAGAGAGAGAGAGAGAGAGAGAGGAAGAGAAACAGATAGAAGAACAGTAGAAACACTAGAAAGAGAAAGAAGAGAGAAAGATGAAGAGAAGGAAGAGGGAATAGAAAAAGGAAAGCTCAAGTTTGCCAGCTTGTTTTGCTTGGTGCAAATCTTCTGCCCTTCTCACTTCTAACTGGAGGGTTCCAAAGGTTCGGCAGATGCTGTGCCTGTCTTCCCTGCTGACCTGTCGCACGCCCAGGTTAGGACAGCTGCTTGAAAGGCTCGAAATGTTTTCCAACTGCCGGTGCCCCAGTGTCGCAAGATCTTGTTTGAGGGTCAGACTGAAAAGGGAGCCTGGGCCATCAGCATTCTGCCAGGCTTGGCGACGCCTTCTTCGAAAGCGCTGAAACCACTTTTGAAAGAAAAACCTGTGGCATCTCTTCGTTCCAAGGAAGCAAATGGATCGCCCTCCTTGCATCAGCCTGCGGATCTACCTGTGCAACTGCGCCTGGTTTCTATGATCGAACCACTGGTTCCTCTGAAAACATGGGTCCCAGAACGCACGTTTTTGGGTATCAAATCATAGCAAATCCTGTGCCAAAAAAGCCAATTCGGGGGCCGGTTACAGAAAGATCCCAATTCTGCCAAATCATGGTCCTGAGGAACATCCAGATCATGCAATCTACAAGGGAAGGCATGGGAGCCCTTCTGGATTTGAGGAGGGGCGCAACCATGCTGTTTCTTGTTTCCCACACTTGCAAATTGGTGGCGCCCAGTTTCCCTGCCTGCTTATGTGCCAGGCTGCCCGGTTTTTGCTGCCTATGGGAGAGACGATCCCATCAAAAATCAATCCACGGTGATTTCGGCCATTCGTTAGGTTCCCGCTTGGGCACCGGCTTGGAGTCCTCCTTCCCCTTGCGGCTGGAACCTCAAGAGGGTGGGCAAGCGCCGGGAGCATTCGACTGCTTGCAGGCGTTTCTTTTAACCCCCCGCAAATTCGCATGGAGGCCACAAAGCGGGGTCTCCCAAAAGGCGGGTCAAACGTGGTCCGAATCTGTTGGGGAGGAAAGGAAGCTGAAAGGCAAACCACCCAGCTTTAGAGACATGTTACTATGGCGGAAATTCTGGGCCAATTAAAGTAATCAACCCTAAAGGACTTTCCAGGTTCAGCTAGTCTTTAGCCGCAGCAGCCAAAAGCTGATCTTTCATCCGCGTGCAGATGTTGACTCGGACACGGAAAGCGCCTTTGGGGCACGTGAACAATGTTGATGGCTAGATGCCTATGACTTTCTTCCAATCAGCGAGAGGGGTGCCGATTTGCCAGGCGCCGCAATCACAAGGTAGGCAACCAACCGTTGAAGGATGCCTGGCAAGTGGGCCGGGCAGAGGTTTCTGCGCCTAGCCTGTTACTTGGCGGGGCGTTCTGTTTACACAATGTGGCAGCAATTTGGGCATATTTAGCGGTCTTGCATTTCCTCTTCCATTGGTACCAACATGAGTGCCCTCACCAATACACCTGTCTATGAACCGCAAGGAATAGCTGCTTATAGTTGGTACCCAAGCTACTACATTTGTTCAGTGGCTGCCTCCAAGGATGCAAAAAGCACGATGTTGAACGGCCCGCTAATTGTTTGAACCACAAATGAGCATCAAGCCCTGGCATTTTGCCGAGTACCTTTCACCGGCCTCAATTTTGGAAGGGATCAATGATAAACATTACAAGATGCGTACCGTATCATGTGGCCAAGGTTCCCTACTCCCCCTTTCGGTGTAAAACATCCCTTTGGGGCCAAGTCACACTTGTTTTGCCTTTGGTGAGATGTTCAGGCTGAACTCGGGAAACCTGGTCTCTACCATTTCCTGACTCCCTGCGTTCCCGGACTTTAAACTTCTGGGGGTTGGGCCATTTGAGTGGCAAACAAAACATTCGGTTACTCTTTTTTCCGGACTAGGCTTTTTGGGGTTGGACCGCGAGTGGTAGCTAAACAGTTTGGTTACTTTTTGTTGGCCCATCCACTCGATTGGTCTCAGGGGCCATCGCATCATCCGGCTTCTCTCGAGGTCATCTGCTGCTATGCCTGTGACTCGCCAGGCGCGGGCCTCAAATTTTCAAAGCAGATTCCCAATGGGTGGCTCTGCATAGGTTGAAGCCTATGTTCTTGTGATTTTTGTTGGTTAAGGCCTTATGAATCCTTGTGAGCTATGTTCAAGGGGATCCTGCTGTTTGGTTAGAGTCCCTGTTTGTCTCTGCGCTGATGGATCAGCATCCAAATTCAAGCTGTGAAATGATAAATGCTGAGATCCCATGCGGGCGATCATGTATTCCAAGCTGACGTGCATAATCCCACAACCAGGGGTGGTTATTCAGTAGTGGCTGGATCAGTCAGGGGTTTTGGTTAAAAGTGGGATAACTTGGGGCAGGTTCCCCTTTGGGTTGTCATCTTTGCTGCGCAAACATGAGCCCAGCCCTCTTTTTCAGGGCCGGGTTTGCGTCCCTTTCTCATCGGCGAGCAACTCTTCCTTTCAAAGCCAAGGGACCCGCAGGATCCCGGCAAGCTTCAGCTACATGACGCATATAGCTGACCAGTCTTCTTTTATGTGGATGTGGAGTGCCGCTTAAAGCGAACTTAGCTTTGGATTCGCCAAGGCAAAGGATCACCACCCCCCCCACCCCCCACCCCCCACCCCCCTACCCCCCCAGCCCCTTTCAAGTCAAGCGGAACTGTCGGAAGGCCGGCAAAGATTTGGCAACCGCCCCAGTGTGTGCGTTTGGCCCTTGACCAGCAAGAACCCTCGAGATTGACAAGACCAAGCATGTTTTCTGATTTCTGGTCTCAGTCCAGGCAAGATCCCTTGCCCCACTTGCAATCAAATGGCTCCAGCGCCTTTGAAAGAAAGGGGATGTGTTTTGAAACAATGAAACTGTCTGGAGAACCCATGGGACAACTTGGGAAACCTTACAGAAACCCATTGGAAACCCATGGCATCTTCGTGGAGCGAATCGCACTGGGAAGAGGTCCTGAATAACCTGTCCGCGTTGCCACGGAACCCACCCAAGAACAAGCGCATCTTCAAGGCAAATGGTCCAAACCAGGACCCCGACGTCAGGTCCCATGACAGGAAGCGAGCAAGCTTTGTAATTTTCAATCGCCGGCCAGGCGATTGAGGAGCAAATGCAAGACTTCGAGAACGACTTGCGCATCGGCCGGTCTGGGCCGTGAACCCGAGACAGCTTTCCATGTGGGCCACCAGCCCGAGTGAGGAAAAAGGCAGGCGTGGTTGGTTTCTCATGCTAGCCTACTCTTTTGTTTCAAAGAAATGGCTTTTGGGAAGCCAAAAGGAGGCCACCCTTTAGTCCATTTGTGACTTCACGAAAGCGACGCCAACCTTTTGGCAACTTGTGGCTTTTCCATCCCGGCCCTGTTGATTCGGGATTTCTACACTCATTTCGCCTTCAGGCTGAACAACAACCAACACAGGCTTCTGATTTCAGCCACGGCGAAAATCCGAAAGAACTTTCACCTTTGGATTCTCAGTTTGTATGCCATATTTGTAGAGGTTCCAAAAGGTAAACATATTGTTTCCAGGTCCTTTGGTTGCAAGTGAGAGACTGGTTAAGGCGATCAAGTCGAGCAAAATGGGCAGTGCCATTGTTGAGATGTATTGGCGGTGGTTTGCTTCAAGGGACAATCCACTGGGTTAAACAACTCGCGTTTGCAATGCGAGTTGCCTCTTGAAAATATGTCTTTGGCCCAGGTTGCTGGGCGATTCCCATCCTTGCAAGCCCAGATGTTTCTCCCATGTAATATGAGCTCGATCCGAGGAACGATAGGTTTTGACATCTCTGTGGGTTGGCAACCTTTTCTCAGGCGGAGTGTCTTTGGCGTGCCCTTTAATGAGCCCTACAAGGATTACAGGCCGGCCGAGTGGGCCGGAGGCATGATTTCGGCCATCGGCCTTTGTTTTGCTCACTCCCTGAGTTCCGGAACTTCAAACATTTTGGGAAGACACGGGAAGACCATTTTGGTGGTGAATAAAAAGTTTAGACTTGTGTGGCCAATCCGCTTTGAGTTTGAGTGGTTTCCCTTCGGGGTGAGCACGCTGAGCAAGTGAGGACAATGCTGAAACCCTCGCCGGCTGACAGATGACGGAAAGCGCTTAGTGCTTGGGAGCTGTTGTACGAAGACCTGGGGGTGCTAGGGGGGGGATGGCGCGCGCAAGGTGATTTCCAGATGTTAGGCCGCTGCTCGCTTGGCATTGTCGCGCGTTTATCCTAGCTCCTTCCAAGTATATTCCTGGGCCGGGTACCCTCAGGACTTTCATTTGTCCACCGGAAAAGCCGGCGCAAACCTACAGCAGGCACTTTCCGTTGTTTGCCGGACTGGTTTGCAGCGTCTTCACCTGAACGGACTGCGTAATGAGAGAGCCTTACCAGTTTACCTGGAAGGTTGAGAAAGCCAGAGAGGTCCGCAATTGTCGAGCGAGTAGCATGCAGGCGCAGAATCTCTTTTGCAGATCTCGTTGATGAAGCACTGTCTCCTATGTTTGCCCTTTTCGTGTTTTTCAAACATCAACTGTGTGAGGCGGAGGGAGCTTTCTTTTGGTGTACAAGGAAAAGCATGGGGACCTTAGTGTCTAGTCCGGCGCATCGATCACACTCTACGTCCCGTCAGCCCCACATTGGCCTCTAGTGCCTTTGCCCAGCTGGCTCTTTTCCAGCATATCCTGCACAGTATCGCTGCCATATTGCAAAGTTGTCTGCTCATGTTTGAAATTTGCCATTTGCTGAAGGACCAGGTTTCACAACACCGACTTGCTGGGGCAAGGCAGCTGAGTCTGCTTTTTTGTCAGCCTGCAGGTTGCGACGCCTGCGCTCCATTCCATCTTCACCATTCCGTAGACATGCTTGTTTTAGGAGTATGCACGCTCTGCCTGGGTTTCTCAGACCAACACCTGCACTCAGACTTTCCACAACTCTCGCCTAGTGCAATTGCTGCAACTATGAATCGAATGATTCCCCTTTGCCCTAGCCGTCGGCTCATGACACCGCTTTGGGTGGGCCGAAATACTGCGCCATGATTTGGCAGGCTGCAACTGCGCAACCACGGCATGCCAGCCACACCCAGGATTTCCAGGTCACAGTGTTCGCAGAGACCTGAGTTGGCTCCCCTTTGTCCGTCTTTTCTCTGCCCTAGAACATGCCCTTTGGCGCTGAACTCGTGCTGTTGTAGGTGCAAATGACGAATCGCACGTCAGCTTGCCGGCTAGCTGTTTTCGGCTTCCGAAGTCCAATCGACCTTGCTTAGTGTTTCCGACGTGAGTGAGTGCTTGCTTGCTTGATTGATTCATTGCTTGATTGATTGCTCGCTTGATTGCATGATTGAGTGCTTGCACGGTTTCTTCTTGATTGCTTGATTGATTACTTGTTTGACTGCTTGACTTGTTGATTGGTTGATTGGTTGCTTGATTGCTTGATTACTTGACTTGTTGATTGCTTGATTGTTTGATGGATTGCTTGCTTGATGGCTTGCTTGATTTCTTGCTTGCTTGATTGCCTGCTTGCCTGCTTGCCTGCTTGCCCGCTTTGCTTGCTTGCTTGCTTGGTACATGGCATTGCTTGCTTGATTTGATTGATTGGATTGGTTGCATTAGTTGATTGGGTTGGTTGGGTTGGTTGGGTTGGTTGGATTGGTTGCATTGGTCGTAGATTGGTTTGATTGCTTGGGTTGGTTAGATTGGTCGGACTAATTGGCTTGATTGGGCTGGTTGGATTGGTTGGAATGATTAGATTGATTGGAATGAATAGATTGAGTGGATTGGTTGGATTGGTTGGGTTGGTTGGATGCATTGAATGGACGGATGGATGGATGGCTGGGTGGATGGAGGGATGCATGGGTGGGCGGGTGGATTTCTGTGTTCGTTCATTTTTGTTTTATAAATCAATGATTCGTTCAGTCCTTCCTTCATTCAGTTGGATTTGACTGATTTGAATTTATTAATTGCTTGATTTGTTGGTTTGATTCGATTTGCTGTTTGGTTGGTTGGTGAATTGTTTATTTGATTGGCTGATTCCTTGATGTTGGTTATTGTTTCTAAACTCGTTGATTGATTGGTTGGTTGATTGATTGATTGATTGATTGATTGATTGATTGATTGATTGATTGATTGATTGATCGATCGATCGATTGATTGAATTGATTGATTTGATTTGATGTTATTTGATTTGATTTGATTTGATTGATCGATTGCTTGATTGCTTGATTGATTGATTGATTGATTGATTGATTGATTGATTGATTGATTGATTGATTGATTTATTGGAGTGGGTTGGATTGGATTGATTGGATTGGTTCGATTGATTGAATTATTGGTTGCTTGGATGATTGCGTGGCTGATTGATCGGTTGGTTGCTTGATTTGGTTTGATGGAATGACTGATTGATTGATCGATCGACTGGCTGGTGGATTGGCTATTCAGTTAGTTGATTGGTTGGTTTGGTTGGTTTTGCTTGGTTGGATTGATTGATGAACTACTTCATTGGCGCATGGATTCTTCAACTCGCTCAATTAAATGAGGTTTGATTTACTGTATCAAGTGAACTGGCTGGGTTGATCGGCTGGCTAGTGAATGGGTGAATTTATTGTTCATGTGTGTTGCGAACAAACGTTGCTTTTTCTCGACGTTGGTGTGTCCAGACCTTCTGGACGCGCAAAATTACCCCTTCGCCTTTGCCGGCCAAATGGCTCTTCTCCTGATCGAAATGTCCATTTGATGCTTCTTCGGGGTTGTTCCTCAAGGTATGCCGGACTTTTCCCAAACGGCGGCCAAAGGGACGAATGCCTCGCGCCAGTCTCATCTGGGATGGGGTGAAGCAGTCCCGGGTCTTGGAGCTCGGTGGGGACCGAGCGGACTTCGCGCTGAAAGCCGGAAGCCCAGCATGTTCCTCTCCGAATGGGGGAGGTGAAGTGGCCAAAAGGTTCTGGGTGATTGAAATGGGCGGAGCGTTGCGGATACCTTTTCTATACCTGGTTGGGTACGCCCCCCTTTACCACAGGGAGATTGGGACTCTCATATTTCTTTCCAAACCCTTCCTTAGCAGTTCCTTAGGAGATGATGGGTTGCTGAATCAGTATGGATGCAGCACGGGGATGTTTGGTTTTCTCGGGGAAAGTGATCCGCAATAAGCCTCAAGTTTAGGAATGATGCCCAGCAAATCGTGCATGCAATAGTGAGTTCTACCGATTATATAATTGTTCTTCTTGGGTTAGTTCCGTGGCGTCGCTGATTTCTTGAGTCAACAGCACCGCGGTTGGAAGAATGCCGCTCCTGAAAGAAGGCACGAGCACCACCTTTGGCAACAATCACATCAGTGCATGCACTAGCCTGTCCAATGTTTTGACCACCTGCCTGAAGACAGTGGCGTACAAGAACTCGATAGCCATGTGCCTTCCCTCAAAAAAGCTTGGCAGGTGCCAGATGACCTTTGCAACTCCAGGCCAGCAATCCAATTGTTCAGTCGACAGCTTCTATTTGCTAGAAGTGATTCTCGTTTATTACCCCCAAAGGTCTTCAAAGGCACAAAGGTCTCATAGAAATGTCGTTTTCAAGAAGCTGCCATTCGAGATTGCATTTGCACCAGCGGAAGCATCGCATCTCATGAGAGTTCCGTTTTATGCCGTCCCATGACAATCGTCCATTTGCTTAAGATTTGTTGTTGTTTTTCCCCTGTCGGTTTTAAAGAGAATCTATCACTAGTGAAAATATATCGATTTTCAGAAACCAATGCTGTGAGTGGTGTTTTTTTTTGGGGGAGTCTTGCTCACAGAGATAAAGGTAAAACATCGATGAACAAAAAACTCGAAGAAAACCCAAAAAGCCAAAGTACTCAGGAATGCTTGTTTCCCCTTACGAAAAAACACGTGTTTTACGTGTAAATTACCAATCCTCAGGGCATTGGCCTCTCTTATTTTTCCCAGGGGTCTTAACCAAATGGAAGCAATATATGGAGTATCAATAGGGCAAAGTCAGCGCATGGGAACCGAATTCGTTGGCTGAGGTGCGGGTGTTTCCATATGCATGTGGGGCCCCGACCTCAGCGGCAGCCAAAGGAAGATCAGCGGGTCCCTGTGCTTAAGGGGATATGTCGTATTTTCCCTGGTTGGTTTTAAAGGGAATCTATCACCTGTTGTAGTTTCCCTCTTTGGTTTTAAAGGGAATCCATCACCTCTGGATTGTTTTGTTTTCTTTTCAGGGGGCGAGAAAGCAAATGGATCGATTGAGGAACGCTTGCTTGGCCAGTGAGATGTCAAAAAAGGGTGTCTTGGTTCTTAGCTCCTTGCAATTCTTTTCTGGGCAAACCCATCTCGCACTCGTAGTAACGCGCTGTGTGTGTGCAGATCTGAGCAAGACGCGCGTTGGCCAGGTGCTGAGCATCTGGGTGTTCATTGCAGTGGCAATGGGTGAAGACTAAAATCCGGAGTTTGCGCAAGCGGCACGACACAGTTGAGTCTGACCCATTCTAGCGGCCCAAAAGGGATTTATTATTCCTTCCGACCCTGCCCCAACATGAGCTTGAGCTTAACAATGTGGGTCATGTTTAGCTGATGAATGCTTCATGCTACAGTACATTAGCTGACAAGATACTTGTCCCGGATGCTGGCCTCGAAGCTTTGTCGCTTGAGACTTGGGGATGACGGCTGATGCCCACGTAAGAGCGGGAAGATCGTTGAACGCCAGGGAGCTCGATTCCCATCCTATCCGGTCTGGGCCGTGTTGCTGCATGCTGCTGTCGCACATTGCACGGACGTGTTGCGGTCGGTTTAGACTTGGTTTTTCGACCTTCCTGATTTGTCCAGCTGCCCGGCTGCTTTGCTGCCACCCGCTGCTGCATCTTCCTCGGACGCATGTGTTTCCGCTTTCTTACAACAAATGCAAAGAATATTTGTTTGACATATGTCTCACAAGTACTTTTGCTGCCGTTTTCCGTGCGCGAATTAGAACACAGGTGCGTTTTCAGTGTCTACCAATTATGTAGATACAAGACGAAACCAGCATGTCCGAGTCGCAAAAGAGAGTGTCCATCTTGATATATTCGAAATCGATCTAGATCATCGTTCTAAGTGGCGGCGGCAATTAAAAAACATATATACAATAATTTGATGCCAAGAGTCAAAAGAAGTTGGTGTCTGTTTGTTCTGTGTTTTTGGCAGACCTGTGGCCCTCTGGCAATCGCTTTTCACACATGCGCCATTGTTGCCCAAGGCCCTGCTCTTTAGTAGTATTGCACTCACTGCATGCACCATAGAAAAGGCGGCTCGCGCAAACCAACATTACACATACCATTCACTTCCAAAACAATTGATTCGTCAGACATCGGGGGGGATTCTTACTACATATATATAAATATATGTATATATATATATTTCTCATTCTCCCAGCAAAACTTTTTGGGCCAATAAAGCGCGGTTTGGGTGCTTCCTAGATGAGTTGCGTCAAGTCATGAGTGCACGAAGTCATGTGATTCGTATGTCATTCCAACACTAAAACTTTGCGGAGTCTGCAAGAATCCCTGCCAACTTGGCGGAGCACACACCCTGCAGCTTTCAGGCACGAGCAAAGTCAAAGGGGTCACAAGAAGGGTCGTGGCCTTGTTTTCTTGATTCCTATCTTTATGCCGTTCGCTTATTTTCTTCTTTCCTGCTTTTTATGTTTCTTTACTGTCTTCCTTTCTTTGCTTATCTGTCTGTCTTTCTGTTATGTCTTTATTTTGTCTCTTCTTTCCTTTTGTTTGTGTTTGTCCCTTGTTGTCCTCATTTCTCTTTGTACTTATGTGTTGGTTCCTTGTTTCTTCTTTCTGTCTCTATGTCTTTCTCTTCTTTGTCTTTGTCATTGTTTTTCTAAGTTTCTTTTTCTTGTTGGTGATTTCTCTTGTTCCTTGTGCTTCTTCCTTGTGTATTTGTTCTTCCTGTACCCTCTTCTGTGATTTCTTTCTTCTGTCATGTTGTTTTCTTTCGTTCTTGTGTTTCTCTTTGTTCGCTCTCGTTCTTTGTCTTCGTATCTTTCGCTGCCTATCTAGCTATCTGTTGAGCTTTAGTCATTATTTCTGTCTGAATTTAGTTATATCATGTTGTATCCGTCTACTTTATAGATCTCTATCTATCTATCTATCTATCTATCAAGCAATCTATCTACCTATGTAATAACCTTTCTATTTTTCGACCCTATACCTGCTTTTTATCTAAGTCTCTATCTTTCTGTCTATCTATCTAAAAGTCTATGCATCTGTGTATCTGTGTATCTGTGTATCTGTGTGTCTGTCTCTCTACCTATCTCTCTATCGATCTATTTGTCTGCTTGTCTGTCTATCTCTCTCCCTCTCTGTCTGTTTGTCTGTCTGCCTGCCTGCCTGCCTGCCTGCCTGTCTGTCTGTCTGTCTGTCTGCCTGTCTGTGTCCATCTATCTAATATATCTATCTATCTATTTATCTATCGATCTACCTATCTAATGTCTACTTATCTCATCTATTTATCGATCTGTGTGTCTATCTACCTATCTTGTCTATCTTATCTGTTTTTTGTGTGTAGTTGTCCGTCTGCCTATCGAGTCCATCTAGTCTATCTAGTCTATCTAATCTCTCTATCTACCTTTGTATTTGTCTACAGATCTATTTCTCTGGGTTAACCTATCTATCCATCGATCTTGCGAAAGTGCTGAACCTATTGGCTTTGCGAAAGTGCTGCGCCTGCCACGGGAAAGTGCCCTGCCACGAAAATCTACCCGACCTTTTACGAAAGTGCCACGAAATCTGTACTTGACCTTGCGAAAGTTATGAGCCTGCCGCGATAGTTGTACCCTAGCACGTAATCTAGTGTTGTGAAAAGCGGGCGCGTCCGGCCAATTGGCCTGGCTCTGAACGCGGTCCACAGCGTTAAAGGGTTGCAAGTACTGGGCCCACAATGGTTGAGTGCACGCATTGCGCTGGCACAAAAGACCAAAGCGATTGCATGGTTTCGCGGCTGAGCAGTCTTGCATCGCCCATGAAGTTTAGTGTTAAGTTCCAAACTTGTCTCTGGTGGCTTCCACGGCTCAAATACAAATACATAGCACAGAGTCATCGGTCGTTGTGATCCTGGAATTTCCTCCTGCGTTCAGAAACAAGATGAGCGAAACCGTTCCCTTGAGGCTGAGCGGACTTGAGGCAGGACTTGAGGAAGAGAAGGATGCAACCGACGCTGACTCGCCACCACGCACCGTTTGGGGCGCGGGCCGGTTGGCGTTGTGGATGGTTTGTGGTTTGGCCCTCCTTGGCTGCGCCTGGTGCCTCAACTCCCGAGCGCATATTGGTTTAGCAGTCAGCGCGGCACCAGAGTTCATCGACGAGGCGTCCGCAGGCTACAAGTACAGTGTCGTGGTCGGCGACAAAGTCACAAAGACCTACTACTCACTCCAGTCCGCCAAGCATGAGCTGAACTCATTTCCTAAAGGTGCCAGCAAGCCGTCTCGCATGATCTGTGAGGTGAAGAAGGGAGTGGTGACCAAGAGCCCTTCGAAGATTGGGCCCTCGCGCCAGAACCAGGCCGCTGGGGTGAAGGCCGGCTTCAACAAGTGGTGGTGGGACCAGGCTGACATCGACCGCATGGTGAAGGTTTGCGAAGCCGATGACAAGAATCCCACGGATACCTATATGTATCGTGTTGTGGTGGGCGACAAAGTCACAAAGACCTACTACACACTCCAGTCCGCCAAGCATGAGCTGAACTCCTTTCCTAAAGGCGCCAGCAAGCCGTCTCGCATGATCTGCGAGGTGAAGAAGGGAGTGGTGACCAAGAGCCCTTCGAAGATTGGGCCCTCGCGCGAAAACCAGGCCGCTGGGGTGAAGGCCGGCTTTAACAAGTGGTGGTGGGACCAGGCTGACATCGACCGCATGGTGAAGATTTGCAACGCCAACACTATGAAGTGATGAGGGCACATAGGTTGTCCGATGGCCCAGTCCAGAATGATCTCCGAAATCCGAACTGTGTTCCGATGGAAAGGCATAAAATGCTTATTAGGATTCTCAATTATTTGTTGAATTGAATCTTTTGAACATTGTGAACAGAGATTGATAATATTAGTATTTAGATTTTCTAAATTCGATATTCTGAAAATGATATATGTATATATATATATATGTATGGATAGAACATTCCATTTGGCCTGGCTCTGAACGCGGTCCACAGCGTTAAAGGGTTGCAAGTACTGGGCCCACAATGGTTGAGCGCACGCATTGCTGGCACAAAAGACCAAGCGATTGCGTGGTTTCGCGGCTGAGCAGCCTTGCATCGCCCATGAAGTTTAGTGTTAAGTCCCAAACTTGTCTCTGGTGGCTTCCACGGCTCAAATACAAATACATAGCACAGAGTCATCGGTCGAATTGGAATTCCTCCCGCCCTTCAGAATCAAGATGAGCGAAACCAAACCGTTCCCTTGAGGCTGAGCGGACTTGAGGCAGGACTTGAGGAAGAGAAGGATGCAACCGACGCTGACTCGCCACCACGCACCGTTTGGGGCGCGGGCCGGTTGGCGTTGTGGATGGTTTGTGGTTTGGCCCTCCTTGGCTGCGCCTGGTGCCTCAAGTCCCGAGCGCATTTGGGTTTAGCAGTCAGCGCGGCACCAGAGTTCATCGACGAGGCGTCCGCAGGCTACAAGTACAGTGTCGTGGTCGGCGACAAAGTCACAAAGACCTACTACGCACTCCAGTCCGCCAAGCATGAGCTGAACTCATTTCCTAAAGGTGCCAGCAAGCCGTCTCGCATGATCTGTGAGGTGAAGAATGGAGTGGTGACCAAGAGCCCTTCGAAGATTGGGCCCTCGCGCCAGAACCAGGCCGCTGGGGTGAAGGCCGGCTTCAACAAGTGGTGGTGGGACCAGGCTGACATCGACCGCATGGTGAAGGTTTGCGAAGCCGATGACAAGAATCCCACGGATACCTATATGTATCGTGTTGTGGTGGGCGACAAAGTCACAAAGACCTACTACACACTCCAGTCCGCCAAGCATGAGCTGAACTCCTTTCCTAAAGGCGCCAGCAAGCCGTCTCGCATGATCTGCGAGGTGAAGAAGGGAGTGGCCAAGAGCCCTTCGAAGATTGGGCCCTCGCGCGAAAACCAGGCCGCTGGGGTAAAGGCCGGCTTTAACAAGTGGTGGTGGGACCAGGCTGACATCGACCGCATGGTGAAGATTTGCAACGCCGACACTATGAAGTGATGAGGGCACATACGAATGATTCCCCTTTGCCCTAGCCGTCGGCTCATGACACCGCTTTGGGTGGCTGGCCGGGTTCCCAAAACGGCAATACACCGATCTCAGCTTTTGCACGGTAAGCATGCAAAGGCCCTCCTGGCTGGCTGGCTTGGCGACATCATCAGCAAGGCGATTGTCAACATTACAAGCTGCATGATGGACATTTGTGCAACCGGCATGGGCCGAAATACCGCGCCATGATTTGGCAGGCTGCAACTGCGCAACCACAACGGCATGCCAGCCACACCCAGAATTTCCAGGTCACAGTCACAGTGTTTTCAGAGTTTTGAGTTGGCTCCCCTTTGTCTGTCTTTTCTCTGCCCTAGAACATGCCCTTTTGGCGCTGAACTCGTGCTGTTGCAGGTGCAAATGACGAATCGCATGTCAGCTTGCCGGCTAGCTGTTTTCGGCTTCCGAAGTCCAATCGACCTTGCTTAGTGTTTCCGAACGTGAGTGATTGCTTGCTTGCTTGATTGATTCATTGCTTGATTGATTGCTTAATTGAGTGCTTGCACGGTTGCTTCTTGATTGCTTGGTTGCTTGATTGCTTGATTACTTGACTTCTTGGTTGCTTGATTGTTTGCTTGATTGGTTGCTTGATGGCTTGATGGATTGCTTGCTTGATGGCTTGCTTGATTTCTTGCTTGCTTGATTACCTGCTTGCCTGCTTGCCTGCTTTGCTTGCTTGCTTGATACATGGCATTGCTTGCTTGATTTGATTGATTGGATTGGTTGCATTGGTTGATTGGGTTGGTTGGGTTGGTTGGATTGGTTGCATTGGTCGTGGATTGGTTTGATTGTTTGGGTTGGTTAGATTGGTCGGACTAATTGGATTGATTGGGGTGGTTGGGTTGATTGGAATGATTCGATTGATTGGAATGATTAAATTGAGTGAATTGTTTGGATTGGTTGGGTTGGTTGGATGCATTGAATGGACGGATGGATGGATGGCTGGCTGGGTGGATGGAGGGGTGCATGGGTGGGCGGGTGGATTTTTGCGTTCGTTCATTTTTTCAATTAGATCAATGATTCATGCAATCCTTCCTTCATTCGGTCGGATGTGACTGATTTGATTTTATTGATTGCTTGTTTGTTTTTTTGGTTTGATTTGATTTGCTGTTTGGTTGGTTGGTGAATTGTTTCTTTGATTGGCTGATTCCTTGATGTTGGTTATTATGTCTAAACTCGTTGATTGATCGATTGATTGAATTGATTGATTTGATTTGATGTGATTGATTTGATGTTATTTGATTTGATTTGATCGATTGCTTACTTGATCGATTGATTGATTGATTGATTTATTTATTTATGTTTGTATTTATTGCAGTGGGTTGGATTGGATTGAGTGGATTGATTCGATTGATTGATTGATTGATTGATTGATTGGATTTGAATTGATTTTGTGCAGATGTGAATTATTGATTGATTGGTTGATTGCGTGGGCTGATTGATCGGTTGGTTGCTTGTTTTGGTTTGATTGAATGACTGATTGATTGATCGATCGACTGGCTGGTGGATTGGCTAATTGGTTAGTTGATTGGTTTGTTTGGTTGGTTTGGCTTGGTTGGATTGATTGATGAACAACTTCATTGGCGCATGGATTCTTCGACTCGCTGAATTGAATGAGCTTTGATTTACTGTATCAAGTGAACTGGCTGGGTTGATCGGCTGGCTAGTGAATGGGTGAGTTGACTCTGAGTTGACTGTTCATGTGTTGCGAACAAAGGTTGCTTTTTCTCGACGTTGGTGTGTCCAGACCTTCTTCTGGACGCGCAAGATTACCCCTTCGCCTTTGCCGGCAAATGGCTCTTCTCCTGATCGAAATGTCCATTTGATGCTTCTTCGGGGTTGTTCCTCAAGGTATGCCGGACTTTTCCCAACGGCGGCCAAAGGGACGAATGCCTCGCGCCAGTCTCATCTGGGATGGGGTGAAGCGGTCCCGGGTCTTGGAGCTCGGTGGGGACCGAGCGGACTTCGCGCTGAAAGCCGGAAGCCCAGCAGGTTCCTCTCCGAATGTGGGAGGTGAAGTGGCCAAAAGGTTCAGGGTGATTGGAATGGGCGGAGCGTTGCGGATACCTTTTCCATACCTGGTTGGGCACACCCCTTTACCACAGGGAGATTGGGACTCTCATATTTTTTGTTCCAAACCCTTCCTTAGCAGTTCCTTAGGAGATGATGGGTTGCTGAATCAGTATGGATGCAGCACGGGGATGTTTGGGTTTTCTCGGGGAAAGCGATCCGCAATCAGCCTTAAGTTTAGGAATGATGCCCAGCAAATCGTGCATGCAATAGTGAGTTCTACCGATTATATAATTGTTCTTCTTGGGTTAGTTCCGTGGCGTCGCTGATTTGAGTCAACAGCACCGCGGTTGGAAGAATGCCGCTCCTGAAAGAAGGCACGAGCACCACCTTTGGCAACAATCACATCAGTGCATGCACTAGCCTGTCCAATGTTTTGACCACCTGCCTGAAGACAGGGGCGTACAAGAACTCGATAGCCATGTGCCTTCCCTCAAAGAAGCTTGGCAGGTGCCAGATGACCTTTGCAACTCCAGGCCAGCAATCCAATTGTTCAGTCGACAGCTTCTATTTGCTATAGGTGACTCTCGTTTATTCCCCCCAAAGGTCTTCAAAGGCACAAAGGTCTCATAGAGATGTCGTTTTCAAGACGCTGCCATTCGAGATTGCATTTGCACCAGCGGAAGCATCGCATCTCATGAGAATTCCGTTTTACGCCGTCCCATGACAATCGTCCATTTGCTTAAGAATTTGTTTAATTTTCCCCTGCCGGTTTTAAAGGGAATCTATCACTACTGGAAATATATCTTTTTTTCAGACACCAATGCTGTAGTGGTGGGTTTTTTGGGGGGAGTCTTGCTCACAGAGACAAAGGTAACAAATCGAGAAACAAAACAACTCGAAGAAAACCAAAAAAGCAAAAGTCCTCAGGGAAATGCTTGTTTCCTCTTACGAAAAACACGTGTTTTACGTGTAAATTACCACCACTCAGGGCATTGGCCTCTCTTATTTTTCCAGGGGTCTTAACCAAATGGAAGCAATATATGGTGTATCAGTAGGGCAAAGTCAGCGCATGGGAACCGAATTCGTTGGCTGAGGTGCGGGTGTTTCCATATGCATGTGGGGCCCCGACCTCAGCGGCAGCCAAAGGAAGATCAGCGGATCCCTGTGCTTAAGGGGATATGTTGTATTTTCCCTGGTTGGTTTTAAAGGGAATCTATCACCTGGTGTATTTTCCCTCGTTGGTTTTAAAGGGAATCCATCACCTCTGGACTGTTTTGTTTTCTTTTCAGGGGGCGAGAAAGCAAATGGATCGATTGAGGAACGCTTGCTTGGCCAGTGAGATGTCAAAAAAGGAAGGGTGTCTTGGTTCTTAGCTCCTTGCAATTCTTTTCTGGGCAAACCCATCTCACACTCGTAGTAGCGCGCTGTGTATGTGTGTGCAGATCTGAGCAAGACGCGCGTTGGCCAGGTGCTGAGCATTTGGGTGTTCATTGCAGTGGCAATGGGTGAAGACTAAAATCCGGAGTTTGTGCAAGCGGCACGACACAGTTCAGTCTGACCCATTCTAGCGGCCCAAAAGGGATTTATTCTTCCTTCCGACCCTGCCCCAACATGAGCTTGAGCTTAACAATGTGGGTCATGTTTAGCTGATGAATA